CAGGATTTCAAACCGGGGCTGGCGGCGCGGTCCTGCTTTGCCGTTGGGTGAGGCGCGGCAAAGTGGAAGGCCGCCCAGGTGCGGCCCGGCGGACCCCGGCGAAGGGCCTGCTGGGGACTGCGGAGAACAGGTACGTTTCACACTGGCTTTGTGGTAGGAGGGCGAGTTCCGAGAGGGTAACCCTTGCCCATTGCGGGGGCCGGGTCAAAAGGCCGGCAGTTCCCATCTCTCCGCGGGGGCTTTGCTGGAGCCGGGGCGGCCTGGGATGGCGGCGGGGAGGGCCGGGGGCTTCGTCCTCGGCCGCCGTGTTTCCTGGGAAGCCGGGGCTGCTTTTTGAGGTGGTGCGCGGGACCAGGACCGAAGCCACCCCTCAAAGGTGGCTCTCGCTTAGATAACGAGTTGGCGGGAGGAGTAGGCTAACAACCTTAGCCTTTTCGGAGGCAGGGGGCTTTCTCGAAATGTCGGAGTCTGGTCGGTGAGGGGCCGCGGCGACCTCCCGGGGACTCCCCTCTGTGGGCTGTGAGTGTCTAGGTGGGCTGGCCGATGGCCGTGGCAGTGACAGTTTGTCTTCATCCTCAGTGTAAGCCGCAGGTCCCAGCCTTAACTTTGGGTCTTTAGAATTGCCAGCACATTTTCACGTGCGCTCCTCGCCCCTGGGTTTCTGTAGTAGAAGAGTCCAGTAGGCTGGATAGATAAGCCTTTAAAACAAAACAAAAAAAAGAATGGCATTTTCGTTCTCTTTAATGCGTGTGGGTAAATAAGTCTTTGGAATTATTGAGATATTTGGGAAAGCGTCTTTCCTATAGTGAATCACTCAACAGGTATTTAATAACGTGCAAAGCATTGATCTAGGACAACCTTTTTTTTCCTCGGGGGTGGGGGGCAAAGGAGTTTGCAGTATATGGGGGGTGAGAGAAATTAGTTGAATGTGATGAATCTTGTAGGCTTAGATAAGGTTGAGAAAATATGTTAATATTTATTAAGAGCCATGAAGTTTTTAGCCTCCACTAATAATACTGAGGAGTTCTGGTGGCACTGTGGGTTAGGTGTTGGATTGCTAACTTGAAGGTGGCAGGTTCAAACCCACCATCTGCTCAAGGGGAGAGAGATGAGGCTGTCTGCACCTGTAAATATGTGGAAACCCTAAATTTGGTTGCTATGGGTGGGGATACTTGATGTGGGTGGAAATTTATTATAAAGCAGTCAGCTGATGAAAAATAGGTGCCTTCCTATAAAAACCCGCTGCAGGAATTTTCAATTGATTGCTTAAATACTAAATATCTACCAAGTATCAGGCACTATACCAGACAATGAGGGCTCAGCAATGAACATAACACACAAATCTTTGTCTTTTTGCAACAGAAACTCAAGTGAGAAGACAGAAAATAGGTAAATACCCATGTAATATGAGGGAACAATTCCATGGGAACATTCTGTTGTCTTTTAACTTCATTTTTCCATGAGCTTTTTGAAGCTCTCTTCAAGTGTTAGATGGAGAAAAGTGCTTTGGAGCAAAATAAAGCAGAGAAGTGTTTGAGGAACGGCTGCAGTAAGAGTGGTTAGGAAAGACCACACTGGGCAAGTAGCCTTAAGGAGATGAGGCAGCGATCATGCACAAGCTTCCAGGAAGAGGAACTAAACAATTGGAAGTGACCTTACTGTCTGAAGATGAGAATGGCTAAGCAAATCATTTTGGGGTTTTAATGGAAGCATGATTAGAAAAATAATAAAACATAAAGCTATATAATATGATTGCAACCTGATAAAATATGAGAACACCACGGGCATTAGAGGATTAAGGAGAGGTGTGCAGGTAGGTTTACTTACACTCTAAAAAAGGGTTTTTTGACATGGAAAGCATAGAAGGTAGTGTTTTATTTGCCAAATGAGTGTTGTAGGTCATAAGAGTTCATTTGGGCTGAATCGGTAGGGAAGGCATCAGTGAATTGGTTGGATTTATAGTAAACCTTGGGAAGGAGCCCTAGTGGCCCTTTGGGTTAGGCATTGTGCTGTTAACTGCACGGTTGCCAGTGCAAACCCACCTTTCTCCGTGGGAGAAAGATGAGGCTGCCTGCTCCCCTAAAGATTGACAATCTTGAAAACCCTATATTAGGTCACTCTGAGTTGGAATGGATTAGTTTGGTTTTGGGGTTTGGAGGATGGGAGACTTCAGAATTCATAGAGGGAAGAGAGAGTTTAGTATGGGAACTGGTAATCATTTTCTGAAAAATCTGCTCTTCCCTAATTTTAATCATTCATGTTGGACTGAGGATGCTCTGTTTACTCTTTACTGTAATTGATATGCTCATAAGAACATTTGGTTTCAAGAGATTCTTCTGCCTGCCAGTTGCATAGAAGCTTTCGATATGGTGAAGCAGAAGCCGGACATTTGGGGAGAATAATTGTCCTGCAGTGCTTTCATATGAAAGAACGTTGTATTGGGATTGTCATTGGGAATGGTTTTCCTTGGCAGCAGAGAACCCATATTGTTGACTTCTTAGGAATCTTCAGATTTAGCAATGTTTGTGAGAATGTTTTTCATTAAAGCTCTTTCCTGAAAAACCCCAACAAGCCCTTCTATTGGTTTCTCTTACAATATTTAACACCCTTGATGCAGCTTAAAAAACCTGTGTAGGTCTCTTAATAATGTTGTTTGTAGAGGGAGGGAGAAGGGTTAGAGACTTTTCCCAGGATACCCTGCTGTAAGAGCTGTAATAGTCTGTTATTCTGAAGGACGATGTCTGTCTCTTGGCTGGGTGATTGAAATTAAATTGGGGGCTCAAAGCAATCACATCAAGCTGAGATGCTTTTGTCGTGGTGCCAAATTGCTCCCTTAGGGAAACTTACTCACAGATTGGGAATCTGTAACATAGTGACTTCTCCACCTCTAGGGCTCCCCATCAATAACTGCTGAGATTTCCTAGCACCTTTTTGTTTGAAGGGCTTCACAAACGGATTTCATTGCTGCACGCAGGGATCATTCTGGCTTCCCTGAAAGGCAGCAGCCTCTATAGTGAGAAGTGACAGCTGTTCTACAGCTGCAAAGCAATGTACTACAATATGACTTTGTTTTTTGTTTCCTTTCACATTAGTGTATCTCCCAGCTATGGAGCTAAAAAAACGGGGGGTGGGGGTGGGGAGAGAAATAACAGTATTCATGAGGATGAAAACATGACCCACCAGTAATATTAAGACTATTTTCAATTGACATTGAATAGGATGAGTAAATCTTAGCATTTTGAGTTATAATTTGGCTGAGATGGCAGCATTGGTACTGGTGCTGAAAGATAGTCATCCATAAATAATTCCTGAGAGTCAATTTTGTAGAGTGTTAATAAAAATATATGGTCCTCCATATAGAGAAGATGGTTATATTTAGCTAGTGTGGCTCTAAGCAAACCTATGTCAGAGAGAATGCCTTTTTCAGAATCAACCAGCCACATCTAGAACTCCCTGTTTCAGAGCTTGTTATTAACTGCTGTCAAGTAGATTCTGACTCTTGACAATCTCATGTGTTACAAACTGCTCCACTGGGTTTTCCTTGCTGTAATTTAAAAAAAATCATTTTATTGGGGGCTTCTATAACTCTTAACACAGTCCACACATACATCCATTGTATCTTTGCTGTAATTTTAACAGGCAGATTGCCAGATCTTTTTTCTGTGTACTTCTAGGTGGCTGTGAACCATTAGACAGCTGAGAACAAACTGTACTACGTAGGGGCCTGTTTAATAGCCAAGATCTGTTCAAATTTTGCTATTTTCTTGATTCTTGCCCGAATTTTATGTGCATTGCTCTTTGGGTTATTTGGAGAAGGGGTCTGAGATTGTTCAGTGTGTTATTATGGACTTTGTGCTGTGGGTGAAAGTTCACAGAGCAGATTAGTTTCCCATTCGTCTCCCATTTGTCGATTCACATGTTTCATGACATTAGTTGCAATCCCCTTAATGTGACAGCACTCTTCCCACTTCCTCTGTAGGTTCCTTGTTTCTATTCACTCATCTTTTCTGGCTTTTCCTGCCTCTCACCTTTGTATTTGGGCAAATGCTGCGCTCTTGGTCTTTTATGGTTGATTTATCCTGAGGAACACATTCCTCACAGCTGCTAGTGTTCACTGTATAGTCCTGTCTACTGTTGACCAAAAGGTGGTCTTTGGTCAATTCTATCCTTGAAGGGTAGGTATCTAAGGGCTGTAATCTTGGGGGCTCCACCAGCTTATTCCATACCAGTAAGTCTAGTCTTTTTTTAATGATTCTTGAATTCTGTTCTATATTTTTGCCCACTTTGTCCAGGACTCTGGTCAAAGAGGTGAGGTCATTGTCGCTGGGCACCATTTAGTTCTTCTGGCATTAGGCTAGTGGAGGCTGTGGTTCTTGGGGTTCATTAGCCCTTTGGATTGTTTCATTGAGCCTTTTATTTTCTTTGCACAGAATGGGAAAGGACCAACCAATAATTGTATCTTACATGGGGCCACTCACAAGTTTTTAAGATCCCAGTTATTACTTAGCAAAGTAGGATGTAGAACATTGTCTTTATAGATTTCGTTATGCAAGTTGATTTAGATGTGCCCCAAGACTATGGTCCTAAGCTGTCAATCCTAGTGACTCAGTCCCTCTTGGTATTTGGTTAAGGCTAAGAAGTTTGCATAACTTTGCTTCTGTATGGTCTACTATATTTGGGCATACTTGCAACTCATACAAGTAGGTGTGGAAATAGCCCTTTGCAAATCTGTATATGTTCCTGGGTATACACTTCCACATGCCATCCCACACATGCCCAGTTTATGTATCTACCTGTGTATCCACTTGTAAACTATTGCTTGTTGTTTCTGTTACTGTAGGATTATATATGTAATAAATAGTATTTATAGTTGTTGCCTTTTACTCTTGCATACCTCCCAGGGTCTTCCCTTACCTTGGCTGACCTCCCTTTGTTGTATATTGCCTTTCCCTTTACCCAAGTTATGCATATTTGCATCTGGTTAGTGATTTTACTTTTTCTCCCTCCTATCCCTGGTAACCATCAAAGAATATTACTTTCTCTAATAGTCTTTTGACTTTTTTTAGTAGTGCTCTCATTATTGGTCCTTTTGTGAATGTCTTATTTCAATCAGCATAGTGTCCTCCAGGT